ATATGAGTGACACCACAAATTTATTAAGAAACAGTGGAAAAATTAAATCCGGCAGCCTTCAGCGAGGAGTGTCTAAATACGCCCACGTGTCTGCGGTGCACTATTTTTAAAACCAAAAATGAACATTTGCAGCATTCTGTATTTTCATTATGATTTAAGTAGCATCTTCTGACGGCATCGTCCTAATGCTGTCAATTAGGTCATTAATTCCAGGGGATTATGGGAGAGAACGAGACGAGGCTTCACTCGTTCGTCAGGGCGTTCCCCGGTGCCCGCTGTACGACTAATCTAATACATAACCTCCTGATTTGTTTAATGGATGAGACTTTGCTGCTGCAAGAGGCACGCCAATAAAAAAAAACATCTCCTCCAGAGGCTATTGTGCCTCATAATGATGCCAGACACACAATGTGAGAGTTATGAAGCAATTTTTTATCATGCGGCACATTGTTTTGCTCTGTCGGTGCCGTGCAAGTAAAGGCAATCTCTCCCTGCAGCATAGCACTTCTCGCCCACTTAGATAAACCTTCAGTATGATAAACTGTCCCAGCCACATGTTGAAAAGATGGAAGAAGTTTAGGATTGAAATATGTGTCCCGTGTCGTTGATGTTCCACTAGGTCACAGCCGCGCTGGAGTTTTTTGTTAATGTTGGAGAAAGCAATCTTAAATTTATTACAGTGTTTCTGAGAAAAGTGTTACATCACAGACTCTTGAGTGTACGCTGGTTTTCTCTCCAACGGCTTACAATGGTTTTAAAGGGACCGTGGCTGTAAAGACGATTTTCAACTGATTATGACTTTCCCTCAATTGATTAACCTTTAAAACCAGATTACAATGTTTAATCTACAAACATCACGGTGCAGGGAGCCTCGTGTTGGACCCCATCTGTCAACCTGTCCGTCATAATAACAAACTCAAAGCTCAAAGCTGTCATTCTGACATCACACCCAACTACTGCCTCACTGATCTTAGACATGTCCTGTTTCCTCACATACTTTTCTGCCACTCCTGGCTTTTTTCATTATATGTACTTTATGTTTATTATTTATTATACTTCTTATTCGGTTGATATAGAGAAGTGGGTAAAAGTCTTTGTGTTTCAAAATAAAATACCTTGAAGACCAATGTTAATGACAAAAGACTTCTGATGTGGCTTGGTACCACATGAGCCACAGGCCAGTACCAGGCCCCAGGCCAGTGATTGGTAACCACTGTTTTACAGCAGAAACCCAATGTACCTGAAAAAGCTATCACTTTTACAATAATGCTATGTTTATGGAGTGGTAACTTTTGTTAAGGCTAAGTTGATAAACAGAAATAAGTTTATTAAACCAAACCCATGGAAGCCACCTCTGGTTAGGATGGGGTTTTTTTTCATTTCTTCTAACAGGACAAACGTCTCAGTTAAGTCATAAATATTTGTCCCAAACTTTTTCTGATCATAGATGGCATCACACATCATCCTTCACGCCTCTCCAAGCCCCTATCTTTCCAAAAGTATGGAAAAAGTTGAATAACTTTTGTCAAAATAAAAAAAAAGAAAAAGGGAATTTCCGCTTGTTTGATGTCATAGCTTCGAACAGTCAGAGACATTTGTTACTGTCAAAACAAAACACCCGGTTAAATCAATCAACACCAAAGTTGTCTGAGAAAAAACACTGAAACGGCTAAAAGACTGATCACAACACCTCAGAGTACAGTCCTCCGTACGCAGAGGGAGAATGTTGAGTTGACGTCACGCAAAAACACACAGTTATACCAGCCAGTATATGTGCATGTTACCACTTAAACGTTTAATGTTATCTTCATATAATTAGGTGTGCATATGCTGCTTTATCTACTGAAAAAAAGATCGAAGAAAAAAAATGCCAATTATCTTTTCTTTATTTTTGATCTGATGAGTCCACGACAGATTCTCATTACAAAATGACAAGAACAAACACGCTTTGATCGTATCTGTGCTCGTTTGGAGAATATCGGAGTCTCCAGGCCATAGTCTAATTATATATGACACTGGACAGACAGAGAAGGATGACACATCATTTGACATGTTGACTGAATAATAACAAAAAGATACTTATCACCCTGGATACTTGTACTCTTAGAACACAGAATATCTTGTCTATATATATATATTTTTTATGATTGTATTCATTTATTATCAAGCTGTATCTTGCAAATACTACTGCTACTACTAATAGCAATACATTAATAATAATGGACAGTGTATTCATGTGAGCAAAAAAGAAAAAAAAGGCTATCAGTTGTCAGCATCACTTGATCGATGACAGTCTCTGCAGGAATAGTGTTGGTTGCCTTGACATCAATA